GTATGAGGGCCCGGTACGACGCTCCGGTGGCATTGCTACCCCCAGGGCCCCCGTCCCGCCTAACCCTGGAGCGGTTGACCACGGGATCCAGCCCTTTGACTTTGCACGGATGGGCTTTGACCAGTGGACCTCTCCACCCGGTTGTGTCGGGTCGGCCCAGAGGGACACCGGGGAGCAACATCTGGGCCAAACCCACAGCTAAATCCACTCTGTGTAGACCCGATGCGGTAGTTTCCCCTCTCCAGGTGCCGGCGGCGGCGCCGTCCGTAAGGGGGGCCACGCACCGGAGACGCGTGCGGCATCTTCGGACATGCCACAACACCATCTGATTGTGGTAGGTCATCCGATATATATGAACACTTGGAGCAAAGTCCCCTTCGTATAGTCCCGATGCGGTTGTTCCCCATTCCAGTTGCCGGCTGGCGGCGGCACCGTTCGTGAGAGGGGTCACACCTCTCTGTACAGAACCGAAAAATAATGTATGTATGCTTATTAACACATACTGTATGTAAGTTAGTTAAATAATAATAATAAAGAAAACAGTGAAGAAAAAGAAAAAAAAACTATATGTATGCTTATTAACACATACTATATGCTTATTAACACATACTGTATGTATGCTTATTAACACATACTATATGTATGCTTATTAACACAATCTATATGTATGCTTATTAACACATACTGTATGCCTAATACTAATAATAATAATACTATATGGGAAAAAGAAAAAAAAACTATGCCGACGGCAAAGCCGTCGGCATAGCTGCGGCCAGGGCAGATGGACAGCGCCGCAGATCGATGACGTGTCAGCTATGCCGACGGCTGCCGTCGGCATATGTCCTGGTCGGTGCGCTCTGGATCGGTGACGTGTCACCCGTATCTATGCCGACGGCCACCCGTCACGGCCCTCGGCATAGATTTGACGTCGTTAGCCGGCCGTGATGAGTGTTGTCGGCGGGCCCGCATATATGCCGACGGCCTATATATGCCGACGGCAGCTGTAGGCGTAGTCTGCGATAAGCCGACGGCTTGTATGTGCCGACGGCTGCTGTCGGCGTTGACGGGGATAGCCCGACGGCCATTGTACGCCGACGGCCGGGACTTAGCTGTCGGCATAGCTTTGGTTAGGCCGACGGTGGCCGTCGGCATACATTTGGCTGTCGGCTTAGAGCCCTGTTCCGGTAGTGGTGGTCATCACTAGGTGGTGCAGTGAGCTATTTTTAATCTTTACTACTCCGTTAGATCTCTGTACTGATTTTGATGATTATTAATGTTGGCCATTTTGCAAGAAGAAATATAGATGCCGCAAGCCATGCATGGGGTACTCTGCAGATAATGCCTGAACACGCAAAGCTGGCTAGTTAGCTTGTTTTACTTGGTGTCTTCTATGCGATAGTGGCCTTGCATTTGAAACGGGAGAGAGTATCATAGTTTGTCAGAGACTTTGAAGACCGCGACGCCCTGTAGGTGACGTTACTTTTGTTATTTAAGATTCTCTATAACCTAGTTTTACCCTCGGCAGAAGATGCCCGTCAGACTAGCCACAATGATGAGTAACATACACTAGTAACATACACATATTCCTAGACTATATTACTACCTTTATAGTGGGTACTAATATAAGGCCCCTCCCAATGCTCCACCTTGTACAGGTGCTAAGACTGGCATGTGGGCAAAAAGTCTGATGTGGCGAGGTAATTAAGAAGAGAGAGATGAGTGTGGTGACCCGAGGAAGAAACAATGCTAAGCGCGAGAACCTAGGCAAAAGACTTGAATGGAAGAAATCCCATCAATGCATGAAGAACTTTAGTTGCAAAATCATTAAATGAAGGATGCTTAGCACCAACAAGTTAAGCACCTATGCATTGGGGGCTTTAGTTGCTAAAGTTTTTAATGTGCTTAGCACCTCATGTAAGCACCAATGCATTGGAAGTAGCCTAAGTGTGGTAACATACAAAGCTTCATTTATTAGGTTATAGATTCTTATTGCATTGGGACATGTGATGTTACAGTAACTAGCTAAGGGGGTGTTTGTTTTAGAAGTCCTAGGACTTTTTCTAGTCCCAGGGACTAATCAGAAAAGACTCTCTAGTAGGATCTTTTTCTAGTCCTGTAGAAAAAGTCCCTCCCGTTTGTTTTCTAGGGACTTTTTCTAGTCTCTGGAACTAAAAAGTCCCTGAACCAAACACCCCCTAAGTTAGTATAACCACCTCTCTCCTCATTAACTCACTGCCACATAAACAATTTTGCTGAGTTGGACTTGATGTTATTGCTGAAGTTACTCCCACTGTGGCTAGTCTCAACGAGACTAGCCAAGGAGGGTGCGGTGGACCACTTTGGGGTACTTTGCAGATAATGGCTTGCCACTAAGCTTCCTAGAGATGTTACTAGTATGTGGCTGCCATTTAGGCTTCCTCCTAGAGAAAAATCCATCCATCCATCCGAGGAGCAAGAGGGTAGCTAGAGAAGTAATGGAGGGCGCGGCGCATGCCATTGTGAGCAATATTGGGCAGCTGGTGAGGGAGGAGTTCCAGCAGCTCCGTGGCGTGGGCGGCGAGGTGGCTCGGCTGAGGGACGAGCTTGCCACCATGAACGCCCTCCTCCGCATGCAGGCTGAAGCCGAGGAGGGTGCGGTGGACCACTTTGTTCGGGAGTGGCTGAAGCAGCTGCGGGAGGTGGGCTACGACGCCCAGGACTGCGTCGATCTCTATCTGTTCCGCGTGAGGACCAGGTCCGGCGACCGCTTTATCGTCCGGTGCAAGCGACAGATTAAGACGCTTTGGTGTCGCCATTTCCTCGCCGGTGATATCAGGGCCCTCCGCGCCCATGCTGCTGCCATCAACGAGCAACATGCTCGTTATGGCGTCAGCCTCACGTCACTGCGCCGTCCTCCTTCCAATATGCCAACGGTTCGGGCGTCGGCGCATGTGCTCCACCATGCCGACGACCCTGACAGGTTCGTCGGCATCAAGGAACAGGCCAGTGGCCTGGCGGATAAGGTGAAGGCGGCGAGTGACACCACTGATATCAAGGTATTCTCCATCGTGGGGTTCGGTGGGCTCGGAAAGACCACGCTGGTCATGGAGGTGTGCCGGCAGCTGGAAGCCGACTTCGAGCGCCAAGCACAAGTGTCCGTGTCCCAGGTGCTCGACCTCAAGGGACTCCTCAGGGACGTGCTGCATCAGATCGTCAAGCTGAAAGCTGCAGATCGTGCAGAAACTGTCGACCAGCCCCTTGCTGGCATTGACAGCATGGACATTGAACAGCTCCGCACAAATATCCAGTCGATTCTCACCAAGAAGAGGTACTCCTCCCAACAAACAAGCTCTCACGCACTCACCTTATTTCTACATGTATGTACGTTAACGTTACTGGCCATCTATCTTCTTGATACATCCAGTATTTACTTTTATCTTGCACACTTCGTCAACATTTTTATTTCAAATTAAGACATGGATTTCATCTCATTTCAGATAACTATTGATTGATATTAATTCCAAATCAATACTTCTTACGGAACTAATTGCATTTTATAAGCTATTTCCAATCTGTAGCGGGATGTTACGTGCCATGAGTTTACCGC